AACCGCGGTCGACTATGTGGGAGACCAGCGACATAGCCATTATGCTAACTGCTGGTCCCACCATTTTTTTTTAATCTAAAACTTCTCTACAATTAAAGTCAATTTAAAAATAAAGCCAATAGCAAAAATTAAAACTCCCTTTGGTCCTAGTGAGCACAGAGTACCAATCACAGTTCCTCACATGCTAAAGGACAAAGCACAGAATGCGGTGACTTCCAGCCACCACACTAGAGCCTGAAATGACAGACCAGTTTGACATTAGCCTCTTGAGTCACACAGTGTAATGAGAAAAGATTTCTCACTTTTTCTTCAGTGTTTATCGATAAAGGTGGAGGAAAATAAAAACCTTCAAAGGTCCTTCAACAACAAAGAGAGATTCAGTTTTGACCTGATGGAAAGAGAATAAACTTAATTCTGTATCCTCTCTAACCTAAAATCAACATTAAGCAATCCCTGAATGTTGGGTATGCTCCTAAGTGCTTGTTTAGTGGAATGCTCAAAATAACTGTATGAACCAAGCATGATTATCTTCATTTCATAGCTGAGGGAACAGCAGCCTAGAGAGGCTAGATTAATTTCTATGTCAGACAGGTACACGTAGATTCCAAGCCTGTGCTACAGTGCCACGTGGCCTTTCCTTTCCAAGAACTTGCTATCCAACTGATCACAAGAAGATTTCAATACTTTTAAGCAAGATTAGTCACAATACAGTGAAGATAGAACACTAAGATATATAAAAAAGGCCCCAGTGCTTGTCAATGTAGAAGGTTTTGAGTAAATATTTTCATTTTATCTCATTGCCAACTTTTCAGAAATGTGTACATATTCATGTGTGTACATGCACATGCGTGTTTTACAAGAAAGCACGAGTTATGAGAGAAAGAGAGAGGGACAAAGAATGAGATATTTTAAACCACTAAATAAGCCCTCCTTTTGTAATTTTGGATTATAATAACTTGAACAGGTCACCAAGGTATCACAGCGTAACTGCTGACCTCTGCACAGAAGGAAGGTTTATAAAACTATAGATCTCAACGCTGCCTTCTTTCCAATTTGCTCAACGTGAAAAATGACATTGGCCTTCTAAAACCTTGACTTGTGTTTGGACCCTTTCCATCTGAGTCTTACTCTAGTGTTCCTGATCATTAAAATGAATATTTCAGTGAGGCTGGAACAGTCTTATTAGTCCAAGCCAAGCTTTATATGGCTTGTGCACTTTAAGAGGTTAATCTAGCCAGCTTGCTCACTTTGTTCAGAAGTATTAAATGGAAAGACTGTAACATTAAAAGAAAGGCAAAGTTCACTGGGTAAGACCTCAATAATATAATGGAGCATAAAACCTCCAGAATTTTTTACCATGATATTTTATGAAACATATGCACACTCTCACTGGAACCGAATCCAATTCAAATGGCTTTTAAGGTCAGTTCAAAGTCACCACATATGCAGTATCTCTGTGAGAAATATGTACTGTTTCGAAGTGCTGGGACCCCAAAGCTTCCTTTCTTTACTTTATTACCGGTCCAGCAGTGCTCTCTAGAAGGCAAAAATGTCATCTACGACAGCAATGCTATTAATACTACTTTCAGCTAGAGCATAAAGTTCAGGAAAATATTCCAAGTTTCTGTATCAACACATTCGTTTATTATGAAACAAAAGGAATCACATAGTGTAACTGGAGAAAGAAGTGCTACTTTAAAGGAGGGCAATAAACACAAAAATTAAAAACAATCACACTATTCTTAACTTCAAGACCAGTTATATAAAATCTTTGATATTCACTGTTGTGAAAGGATTGCTACATGTCAAAGAAAAGGGAATTAGCAATGGGATCCATCAGTGCCAACTATTAGTATTACTCTCCTGTTTTTACAATACCCAAATTCTAGGGACTGCTCTAATTCTCCTAAAGGGAAGGAAGTGAAGGGCCACTTTGCATGACAAAGGTCAGATTTCTTCAGGCAAATGAGACTTCTATAGTTGACTGTTCCTGGGTTGCCACTGTCTGGGGGTGGGGGTGAGTTTCTAAGAGGTCAAGAGAGCCTCCAAATTGTGCTCACTGGTTAGGGGACACCCCTGGGGCTACCTTCATCAATTTAAGGTCATTAGGGCTTTTCTATTCAGGTTCTAGTTTCACTCTCCTTAAATCTTGCTAAAATATATTGGCAATTTACACTGATGTATATTTTAAAAGAAATAACAAGTATTTTGTATTATATGCAGATCAAAGAACAGAAGGATAGAATCCCACTCATTTAACAACTTCTTGTAAACCTAAGACTGAGTTCAATGAAATTCAAGTAGACTACAGAGGTTGATAATCTAGCTTCAACAGAAAAGTGAGTCTCTAATTACTGCCCTGGCATTTACAATAATGATCAATAATCCTACTTGAGATTTCACTTACTATGGTGTAGCTATACACAAAAGTCACCTTAAACATTCTCTATAATCATTATGTTATGGTGAAATTTTATTATTTAATTTTCTTGAGATTTTGAGACACCGATATATAACAAATGCTAAAGCTAGTATTATTTGACAATATTTCAATGCTCTTCTATGTCGTGCAAATGTCTAATATTTCTCACAATGGAATTAGAAATACACCAAATTGATTATATTTATAAAGGGTGAAAGAGTTCTGCTTATTTGTAATTAATGAAGGGTATCACTAAGTATTTTAGATAGCATACGGAAAACATGTGCAATTAATTACATCATACTTTTCTTAAACAGACAATGGAAATTGAATTAAGGAATATTTTGAAACCCCTATAGAGATATTAAAGTATTAACGGCTGCTCAAGAACGTTATTGCTACAATGCTTGAAAATGTTTGGTTTTACAGATCAACAGCCTGACACTTCATAAATATCAGATTTTCAATCTAAAAAGAAGGAACTTGAAACGCTAAGCAGATACAGAAAATATACTACTAAAACAGGGATCTTATTATGATACATCACATAAACAGGCACAGAAAATATTTTGCATATTTGTACAGTTTGAATAAGAGTTTGTAACATCTATCCTAAGCAGGAGTTCTCGTTGAACTTTGTGGATGGATGAAAATTTTTATGAGAATAAATTAATAGTTTGTTATTCCTTCTCTACAGAGAAAAAAACCATAGCTGTTCTCAAAGAAACAGTGGGACACAAAGTATGGCTTCCTCAAGTATTGAAAAAGATCAGATTTTCTTTCTGGATGCTTACTGGTCCCAAACGCCCCTTCTTTTCAAAGTCAGTATCAGTTCTGCAGTCAGTTTTCAATCTCCCAGTGGTAAGAATATATTCAAAGGCTCTGTGCTCAGCAGGACAGAAGTCTTTCTCTGTGAATGTAACTGTATCACTCATCGGTAACCTCCTGCCACAAGGGAACTCAGTATTTTCTTTCCTTTTAGTGACTCCTTGGACTCCTGAATGCCAGTCATTGCCCTGAGACCTGGGGCAATATTCACATCATCTCTGTCAATAGCTCCTACATATGCCACTGGTACAACTAAATGTCAAGGGTGCAGATCAAAGTCGCCACATTCCAAAACCCATGTCCTTCATGGATGAATTTTCATAAACTATACTCTATGTTTTAGAAATATATAAAGGTTCACTCTACTTTCTTCTTTTATTCCCAGATAAGTTTATTTATAAGAAAGGCAATCTGATTTGTAGATAATAGCGTGAAATTCTGATTCAATACCTAAAACAACCATTCTTGTCTTTGCATAGTCTTCTATAGAAATATTTTACTCTACCGAACACTTCATAGTAGAAATGCAAACAATTGTCATGATATTAAAATAAAAAAGCACAGATTGTTTTGTAATACTTAACCACCCTATCCCAGTGCCTATTAGAATGTGAGTTATGGTGACATAGAGGGAACACATTCAAGATTGCTTTTATTTTTAAATCTTCATTATGGTACAGATAAATTATATGACTAAAATAGATTGAGCATGTTTTTTTTTTACAATCTATATCCATTTTAATTACTCTAAATTGCTTGGGAAAACGCATATAATTATTTGAAGTCATCTTTACTCTGTAGATTTCATATACAAATTACATAGATTCATATTTCTTTGAGTAGATCTGAGTAATATACAATTGGCCAAACCATCTTCTGTGGATACTTTTTCAGATCAGAAATAGATATAATTTTTAAAAATATTTACAACTGTCTCTGAAGGATTATATTTGGCAAACATTGTAAGACTTAAAACAGAAAGTATACAAATAGCTATTTATGTGTATAGCTAGCTACAGTTTAAATATAATTCTTACAGCAGTAAGAGTATGTAACACACTACATATGTACATATTAACGTGCTCAAAAAAGATAGAAAAATACTGGGCTGTTTAAATTAAATTAAAAGTAGAAGCTTCATTGTGCCAGTTTCTCAAAAACAAATTTTAATATAATTACAAGAGATTATTAGGTATATATAAATCTACACCTGAAGTTGTCTTATAATTGAGAGACATTAGGCAAGTCACTTACTCAGAGGGTAGCTGTAGCCTTATCTATTTTCAGCACATAAACAACTAAATTTTAAGGTTTTTAGTATTTGCCAGGAAAAATGTTTAAAATTCTCATTTTGCAGTAAATGGTTGAAGCTCAGTAGAAAAATAGATAAATGGAAGAAATTAGAGACCCGTACCAATAGAGAACAATTCATCGGAGAAAAATGAAATTAAATTTCTGTTTTCCTCTATGCCATACTTTATGGCTAATAAGAAAATAATTTGGCCAAAATCCAAACATGGTAAATTTTTAAACTTAGAAAAGATACTTAGATAATACAGTGAGTCAACTGGTGTTAAAATAAGTAGGAACATGTGTATGCTCATGGACATGGTTGTTTATGCTGGGTCAGGGGTGGGGAGGGTACAATATCTATGATTTAAATCTTTTGATTGTCCTCTGAAGGTGTGGCAAAATGAAACTATAAGAATGTTATGGAAGAGAAAGTGTGGTTCTTATTAAACCAACTTACCAGTTTTTCGAAGGGGGAAATCATCCTTTGCATCTTGTGCTCCTGGTAATGTGTATTTGTAGGATGGAGATGTTCCACTAAGGGGTGGAGAGCTTTGATCCAATGACGTGTGGTGGGCAGCCCTACAAAAGACAAAGAACGTTCACCACTTGTGCTGTCGTTTCACTGCATGTTGGTCAGCAGTAATCAGTTGCACATGCGGTACACGTGCCTCAGCTGTGTTTATGTTCTTTCTTCCTAGTGTACACAAACCACAGCCTCATGTAACCAAGTTCACCGTAGCAGTGTGTCATGGAAGGATGCAGGGTTACTAAGAATGCTTACCGTGTGTTTAGTCATAAAGTCACACAGAAAAACTATTTCACCAAAAGAGAGAATATGCCAAGAGCCTGAGCTTGTGATAATCTGAGATTATTGGATATGTTTTCTTAAGATCCATACTAGGGAAGAGGTATCTTCTGGATCCTTCTCAGTGAACAATATATTAGGTTGTTGGGAAAGTCATGATGCATTTTTCTTTGTTTTTCTATGCAAAAAGGAGTCATGACATTCCTGATGACCCAACTGAACAACCAAGGTCAAAGTAATCACATACAAGGACTTCAATTTTTTTTTTTTTAAAAAAAAGGCTAGATAGCACATATGAGTATATAAGGGTGACTTTTTTTTTTTTTACTGAGAAGTCTCCCTGACTTCTACAGTAGTTCCAAAATTAACACACACACACACAAACAAAACAGAAATCACATTTTTTTTTCAACATAAAACTGTTATTTTAGAAGCCAGCAGGTGACATCGTAGTTAAGGTGGCTGCATAGTTCAAGTATTGGTCCTCATGACTTGAAAACCATGCTGGGTGCATGTGCAAGCTGGCCCCCCAAAACTGGACGCGATATAGAAACAGACAAGTGGTTGCAGCTTTGATCATGCCTTCTACCTCTTTCTCTCTGTCTCTCATTGGGGGGAGGAAAAAAAGAGAGAAGAAAAGAAAAGAAAAAAAAAACAAAGTAAGAAAAAAATTTTCTTCAAAAAAAAATTGGTTTATCAAGTCTACTCACATCCATGATAGAAACATGTAAATAATTTTAAAATATTTATGAAACATCCTGGAGCCTGCCATTACTTATTTTTGGATGCAGAGAAGAGTAGGTTCCTAAAAAATATGAATACAAATATAACTCTCTAAATAGACTGCCTGGGATGCCTACAATTTCAATATAACAGACTAATCAAATATTTACTTCCCGTCCTTGATGATATAAAAATTTTTAAAAAGTTGTCAGTGTAAAATCATGGGATTATTCTCGAACTCATTGATGAAAAAAACTATTATCTATTAGTCCACTAATCCAAGTATGATTTGCCTCTAAAATTTTGTCTTTTTTTGGATTTGCCATAGGATGCACAAGCTTGCAGGAGAGAGACGGCAAGAAGAAAGTGAGAAATCTTTTTTTTGGATTTGCCATAGGATGCGCATGCTTGCTGGAGAGAGACAGAGAGAGACGGCAAGAAGAAAGTGAGAAATCTCCCTGCCTGGGGGGATTACCATGCTGTAATTCCTTCTCCTCCATTCCCCTCCTAGGACTCGGGCATGCATGCCCATGCACCCAGCATGATTTTCAAGCCATCAGATCTGGGACCTGAACCACAGTGGGAGTCTAGTGCCTTAACCACCATGCCGCCCACTGACTCTTTTGCTCTAATTTTTAAAAATACCACATCTTTCATATTTTATAGACAGAACTGTGTATTGAATATCTTGCCTAGAGTTGGGGAAATCCAGTTCCATAAAATCTGTAATCACACAGTGTATCATGTCATCAGCCTGTGTGTCAAAGGCCAAACTTATTTTCCTGAGAAGAATTGAGGTGAGGTGGATAGGGTAAAGTAGGCATTGAAGACTGGGATTTATTTAGTTATTTATCACCCTCCTCTTCATTTCCCTCCTTTTTTTTTTAAATATTCCTTCCTTTTTTTTTTTATTTAGTAAAAATTCTTTGGGATCTGTAAAAATAGCTCTGACATCCATTTTCTATAAAGCCAAGTAAAATAAAAATCAGATCATGATCTGAAAAAGTCTTCAAAAATGATTGCACAGATATCAGATGTACTACCTGGGAACAGAAATACACAAAGTACAAATCAATTTGTGTGCTCCACCCGCATTTGACAGTTACTCAATCAACACAGAACATACGCACTTCCTCGTCCTTCAGAAGATAAATGCTCATGTCTATTAAGCACTGCTCTCTGCTATGTACTTTACACAGTATTTCACAGGGCCTGCCCACCAACCTTAGAGGGTGAGTATTATGATTATCCTATTTTTATAGGGAATCAAACTGATCCTGAGAGACTTTAAGGAGCTTGCCTATAGTTACACAACAGAAAATGGCAAGCCCAGGATATGCGCCCAGGTGTGCTAAATACCAAACCTGTGTTCTTTAACCCTGGGAATGAAAACAGCTGAACGCTGAACATACGTGTACCAGAGCTTGGGATGACGGCTCACGGAATGATTTTTTCCATTAGTTGGAGTGTCTTTAGTTGCTGATTTACTCAACAGGAATTCTTGAAGCTTCTGCTTTACTTCTGTACTTGCCACGGCCCCTGCAGAAACAGACAGTGACTATGAGTTCTGTCTTCATTTGCCTCTAGAATATCTAACCAAGATTAAGAAGTATCTTCACTGGTCACGGCATATGAAGTTTTCCTATTAAAAGAAGAAACCACAATCTAAACAGTCTTAGAAAATGGCATAGTAATGCTTTGCAACCACTGCTTAAACTGCCAATTTTTTAAAAAACCTTCAATGATTTCTTGAATTGCTCTTGCAGAAAGGGGATTCCCAGCATCAATGTTACCTCTTTTTTTAAAAAAAGTTTAAAAAATGCTGCCAAGAAGCAAAACCATTTTTTTTTAAAAAAATCAATAATCTTGGAGACCACATCAGATCACTTAAACACATTAAAATGATCTTTTCTGAGTCGCTAGTCTGAAAAAACTTTTAAAAATTCCTTTGAGCATTAAACAAATAAATATTGCTGACGATTCTAGTTCAAGTCATCAGATTTTAAACCTTGCTACGACCTGATTTTGAACTGACCTAACATAGAGGAATTATTTGGATCTGTCTCCCTCTTGTGGATACTTCTTTTTCTAAGTGTTCTCTGCCTTAAATCTTTCCAGAGCCTTGAGTATGCAGAAACTCAGTGGAGGTAAGGCTTGGCTTCCAGAGCAGTCATTACATGCTCAGGAGGAAGACTGGCATAGTGAGAAGATGTGGACATAAGTTTATTATTGAACTGTATGGCTTAAGCTTGATTGCTTTAACATAACATTTCTAACATTTAAAAAACAGACGATCCTCTTTGCCACGCAATGCTGTATTTACGTCTTAAGATGCTCTGCAGACGGAATAAAGAGAACTGAGGTGAATATCGAGGCTTTACCTTTGGGTCTATAATTTATATCTTAATCAAACACAGACAATTTAGACAAGCTTAATTTCACTGTTTTATCCAGCTTCTTTCTGAACAACGATCAGCTACAGATGAGGGAAGAGAGTCCATCTTTTACCCTGGTGCCTCTTACTTTCTCGTCCTCTATCTTTGCCTCTGAGAGGAGGAAGCTGCTGTTCTCTGCGATGCCTCTCTACTTCCTGTTCTTGCCTCTGCTGCTCCAGTTTCTGCTCCTTTTCTAGGAGTTCTTGTTGCTGTTTTATGGCTAGAAGTTCCTGTTGCAACTTGCGAGAAGAGAAAGACATGAGAGTGTGCAATTTCTTTAAGCTTCATAGTCATCACTGACCAAAATTAAAATATAAGCTTTTGAAACTTGTATTTAATTTATATTTTTACCCACTTTTTAGTAAATTACTGAAATCTAAAAGTTAGCAACTAATGCCACCGACAAGCAAGTTTTCAGGTAGCTTCACTATCTATGTCTCCCTATCAAAAAGAAACAATAAATTCACTTAGTTTCTATTGACTAAATCTTTAGTTCCCTCAATAACTTTATTTCATACAAATTAAATGCATGAAACAAGGAAAGGCAGGGACCATCTAGAAGTCTACTTACAAAGTCTCCCTCGTATAAATAACTAAAACCTTTAGTTCATATCCTGAGAAATGGTGTGGAAAAAAAGCGAATAGAATAGGGAGATAAGAATTATTTTGGAGGAAGATCTACCCGAAATAGAAGAAGTACTAAAAATTTAAAGCATTATACATGAAGTTCTCAACAGGCAAATACAATCTGTATGTCTATTATAAGTACTCTCAAAAAAGCAAAAATCCTATTCTTTCATCTAGCACTTAAGAAATCCTTAGGGGGACCAGCAATTGGCATAATGCATGTGTCGCTGGACTCCCATGTAGCTGACCATGGTTTGAGTCCTGGACCCAGTGGCTTAAATGCACCCTGGGCACGTGTGTGTGTGTGTGCCCAAGATTCCAAGAGGAGAATGGAGGAAAAGGGATTGTGGTGTGGCCATCCCCCACCCCAGGGGGTGATTTCTCACTTTCTGTCTCTGTGTTTCTGGTGAGTGTAGCATGCACCCTATAGCAAAAAACCTCTCCCCCCCCCAAAAAAAAAAAAGAATCCTTAGGGACACCAATCAAGAGATATTTCCCCATAAAACTACAGTATAATGCACTATTGTTTAACTTTCTAAATCCCCTGAATTCACTTCCAATGAATAATATAAATAAGAAGAATTTTTAAAAGCCATCGAGATGTCAAGTCTACTCTGAGACTGAGAAATACAGATGTATGTATTATATATATATGAAATAAATAAATATGTGTGTATATATTTATAAATGTGCCACTCAGCAGTGACTCCAGTTCAACTTAGGCATTGACATTACTAGATATGAGAGTTGGAAACTACTCATATCCTTAGTTCTTCTAATGTAATATAGAAAATAATTTCTCTCATACATTGTATTTATAATATACATAAAACTTAGCTTTGGATGATACTTTTTATTTATGTTTTGCCATAGGGCACATGTGCTCACCACAGAGAGACAGAGACAGACAGTGAGAAAGTGAGAAATCACCCCCTAAGGAGAATGACCATGCCACAATTCTTCTCCATGCTCTTTCTGGGATTTTAGACATGCACACATATACACCTAGCATGATTTTTCAAGCCACTGGTCCAGGGCTCAAACCATGGTCACCCATGTGGAATTCCAGAGCCTTAACTGGGAGTCCAGCATCTTAAACACCCTGCCACCTGTTGGTCCTGAGTAATACTGATTTTAATCATTACTATTATCTAAAACTTTGAATACGAATGAAGATAGTATAATTTGTTTTTTATATTAAGAAGGTATTTAAAGCTATAAATTTTACACCAAAAAGTAATAGCACAAAATTTAAGAGTTACATGAGTGGCTTCCCAGTCCCTCTGAGCAACAAGAAGACAATTCTGTATGTCAGTCATAACAGGCTCACCACTCCCAGAAGGCTATGCTTGGAGGTGTTCTGGTTACTCTTAACATGAAAACCTTTGTCTTTGACATACCAGTCCCTTGATGGATGTTTTCAGATATTCTATTGTAGCAGAAGAATTCATAACTCTGCTTAAACTCTGCTTTAATGTTAATTCTATACAGATATGATAGTTTTTCAAATTGATGTTGCTTCACCCAAAGCCCCAATGCAATTGAACTTTAATTTCTCTGAGGAATCTAGAAAAATCACACAATTAATTACCATAGCTACCATGCATTATTAAAAATTACAGAAATGAGGTAGAAAGAAACAGAAATATATAAAACTTTGCCTTTCTACTTCTAGATGGTCTGGCTCAAGAGAGAGGCAATGTGCCTCAGTGGCTTTGGAGGCAGCCAAAGAAAGACTGCAAATCTCCAAACAACCAATTATGGCTGTGTAGCCTTGGGGAAGTTATCATATCTCTCTCTACCTGAGTTTGCTAGGTGGAAAAATGTAATAATAGTATCTAACTCAACAAATACTCAATATTACAGAGGCCAGAGATTTAAAAAGCTAATTTAATTAAAGCATCATGTACTGTGTGTCTTCTTCACAAAAACAAAATTCAAATGTGTGTTAAAAGCATCAACTTTTAACCTTACCCATAAAATAGTGACAAAATAAAAATAACAAAAAACTCTCTATGCTATTAAAAGAAAATTTTAAATATCTATCTCATCAGTTTCTGGAAACAAACAAACAAACAAAAACAAAACAAAACAAAACAAAACAAAACATAACTTACAAACAGATGGCCCTGAATTAAAATTTTTCAACTGATCATTTTTGACTTTACAATGGTAAGAAAGCAATATATATTAAGACCCATACTTCAAGTACCCATGTAACCATTCTGGTTTCCATTTTCAGTATAGTATTCAATAAGTTGTATGAGATAGTTAACATTCTATTATGAAACAGACTTTGTACAATGCTTCTGTTCAACTGTAGGCTAATGGAAATGTTTTGAGTACATTTAAGTTAGACTGGGCTAAACTATGATGTTTGGTAGGTTAGGTTTATTAAATGTGTTTTCTACTTAACAATATTTTCAACTTACAATGGGTTTATTGGGAAATAACTTTATCATAAGCTGAGGAGCATCTGCACTTTGGAAAATCATTTTAAAAGCTACATTTTCCTTTCAGCTATCTCATAATGTTTTTTTTTCTCAAGAGCCTCTTTTCCGATTTTCCCAGATATCAATAAACTACTGTGCCATGTGGTTTGCGCCAACTTGTTACTATTAACTTTTGAGCAAAATCAAACAACAAATTACTTTCTTAAAAATGTGTATTGATTTTATAACTACAAAAGCTACCAACATAAATAAGTAACTAAAGCGGCAACTTACAAATGTTTCCCTATATTGATGGTAACAAGACTCACTTACAGCAGCAAAATGAACTACCTAGTTCCTTAGATGTTACAGTATGGTGAAGAATACAAATTTTACTCATTCATCACTGTTATCCTAACGTGCCTGGAAGGACTGAATGATAAGTTCTAGACATCAGTGTTCCTACTATTGTTTCAAAGGTCAAATTAATGGTTCAACATTCACTGAAAAATATGTCTATAGAAATAAATGTGGTTACCATACTTCAAAATATAGCCATGACCTATAATTCCATGTGAGATACAAAAGAAAATCCTCACCTCATTTTTAAGGTGTCTTAGATATCAATAATACATGAGCACACTTTTAGCAAGATTCACCAGTAAAAGAAAAAATTATATTTTATATCAGGTGTTCAACAGACTTTTTAGGATAATAAGATAATATAGGCAGTCTTCCCCTCAAAGGGGGGGGGACATAAAGAAGAAGAAAACATTTTTACCTTCTCAGATACTATAATGTGGTAAAAAGTTATAATATTTATATCAATTAGCTTTCTATATTAACCCCACAACAAAGTGATAGTAATTAAAAGGCAAGTACTATAGTAAGTACATATACTATAATAATATTATGATACATCATTTATTATTAATAATAAAAAGCATGTATTTCAGTCATCTTTGAAAGAGTTGGATATAAAAATGAATGTTTTTATTGTAAATATTTCTTGCAGGCCAGCAGGCTTAGAGGTTAAGGTGGTAAGATTCCATATGGCTGACTGTGTGGTTTGAGTCCTGGACCAGGTGCTTGAAAAATATGCTTGGCGTGTGTGTGTGCATGGGTTCCCGAAATCCTAAGAGGAGAATGGAGGAGAAGGGATTGCAGCGTGGTCACTCTCATGGTGGGGATGTTTTCTCACTTTCCTTCTCTCACTGTGTGTGTCTCTGTCTTTGCCAAGTGCATCACCTTATAGCAAAAGTTGAAGACAAGTTGTTGTTTTTATATTACTGTCATAATGAACTCAAAAAATCAACTTAATCAAATTAAAATAGCCTTGTTTTCAAATGTCTTTGTCAAAAAGTTAAAAGATATTTTATGAATGAAGCTAAAGAAATATTTATCTCTGAAATACAAAGGAAAAATAAATATACAGTGTAATCTTGGGGGCCAGCAAATGGTGTAGTGGTTAAGGTGCTGGTTAAGGTGGTTAAGGTCCCACATGGCCAAGCATGGTTTGAGTCCCAGACCCAGTGGCTTGAAAATCAAACTGGGTGTATCAGCCCCAGATTTGATGTGTAACTCAAAGATCTCGAGAAATACCAGAATAATCTGTTCCCGTCATGTCAGTTTGGTTTCATCGTACTGACAACCTCAGTTGGCATCATGGACCATGAAGAAGCACAACGGAAACATACAGGAGGGAAAATCCTGGGATTCTTTTTCTAGGGATGTAATACACATATACAAATAAAATGCCTCATTGAAAAAAAAAAAAAAAAAGAAAGAGAAAATCAAACTGGGGGGGGGTTGTGTGTGTGTGTGTGTGTGCCCAAAATCTGAACAGGAGAACAGAGGAGAAGGGACTCAAGTGGCCATCCCCCCGGGGGGGGTAATTTTTCACTTTCCTTCTCACTAGCTCTCTCTGGCAGGTGCACAGACCCAATGCTAAAAACCCTTTAAAAAGAGAGAGAGGGAGAGAGAGAGAGAGAGAAAGATCTAAAAAAATATCTGATAATAAAATAGTGCATCATAATAGACTCTAGGATCCATAAACGTATTGCTCAGAATAACGTAAACAATGTGAGTCTTATATCAACAGTTATTCCAAACTTCTTCCAATAAATTCTTATCTACATTCAATAAGGACAATAAAAATATTTTACCAATTTCTCCAAAAATAACTTCCTTAAGCTTTTTATTATGTTATTATTTTGAATGTATACATTTTAAGAACTTTTCTTTAAGAAAGATTAGGACATACTCAGAATGTTTATTTACTGAAGGGTGAAAAGATTTTTTTTAAAAGGCTCTCTCTTTACATAAGGAGATGGCTACATTTTCCTTTCTGGTAAATCATATATGCTGATTCTTTAGAAATAGAAAATGGGGGAACCAGCAGTTAGCGTAATGGCTATGTTGCTGGACTCCCATGTAGTCGACAGCGGTTCGCGTCCCGGACCCGGTGGCTTAAAACTCACGCCAGGCGCATGTGCGTGTGTGCCCAAGATCCCGAGAGGAGAATGGAGGAGAAGGGATTGCGGCATGACCATCCCCCCTGGGGAGTGATTTCTCGCTTTCTGTCTCTATGTCTCTCTCTGTCTGTCTGGTGAGCGCACGCGCCCTATAGTGAAAACCTCTCCAAAAAAAAAAAAAAGAAATAGAAAATGGGTCTCTCTAGGTTCATGGATCTTCTGGTAGAGAGTAGGTGGGGCAAATGAAAAAAAAAATCATGTTGGACAGAATCTAATCTGAGGGAAGGAAGTTTTTATTCTTTAATATAGACTCCATAAGCTAAAAGGGAAGAGTGGTAGAGGCCCCTCTAAGAGGCAAAGCAGGTATTTTATAGGTACTTACCTAGGCGTTCACTAGTACAATCGCAATTTCCTTCAAGTCACATGTCCATGTCATAATCACAGCAAAGCTCCCGTCCAGTCCTCCCCTGGGGGCCTCTCATACCCGTGTCATGATGCACACTTCCTGAGTAAGAAAATCAGAGACAAAGAAACATTTGCTACCTTGATGTGCTCCTGAAGCTGAGCCTGGTGCTGCCGTGTCAAGTTCTCATGCTGTTTCTGAAACTCTGCGATCAAGAGTTGCTTCTGGATTTGTTGCTGCTGCTGGATAAGAAGTAGCTCCTGCTGCAGTTGCTTCTCACGAACGACAGGGTCCACCACAGGCATCATCATCCTGAGGTCGGTCCTTAGGTCTAATGGCGAGATGGGCTCCAGGCCCACAGGAACCTCTGACTTCACATCCACTGGAGAACCAGGAAGAAAGAAAGGGTGAGAGGATGGTGGGACAGGTTGGGAATTAGCAGATTGCATTAGAAACAAACAAAAAAGAAAAGACACTATACCTGGCACAACAAATTTTATGTCAATGATTCTAGTCATTTCTTTACAACAATTATTAAGGGCTTTTGTACATTAGTTTTGATAAATGGACCATATATGCTAGTTATCACTCAACAATGTGTACTCTACCATGAATCTTCCACATTTTCTTTTTCCAAAGAGATGGTTTCAATTATTCACTGGTATCAAGATTACTCATTAAATGTATACAGAACCACGTATGTCAAGTCAACTTTGGACGAGAAAAAAAAAAGTGTGATTATATTGAGGGTAAGATATAATAAGACAGAACTTCTACCGCAGTTAAATTAGAGCACTTATGAACATTATTCTTTGCGATCATACTCAAAAGATGTATTATCTTAAAAATTAAGTTTGTAATGTAATGTATTTGCAGGCCTATTGAACCTAACAGAGAAAGAATGTAAATCTGCATGCTAAAATGTGGGAAATGGTGATTAACCACAACATCAGGAGTGAAAGTTGCCAAGTTTCTAAGTGCTGGTTTTAAAATTGTAATAATTTGTATCTCAGTTACTTCATTCTTAAAATAAACAAGGTAGAAAATGTATGAGGAAACTTGAAACGAGTATTATTTAATCAGACCACTGGAGGAAGAGGGATTTGATGACTTGAGAAAAACTACTGAAGATAATACTTAAATTTATAAAAATTCCATGAGATAATGTATATAAAATTCTCAACATAACTTCTGGCAGATAAAAAACCAGTTTTTTTGTATTTTTGGGGGGGCGGGGTAAAGTCTCACTGTATATTGCAATTCTCATGCACCAGCCTCCTGAGTCACTAAGAGCGCACATGTATAGCATCATGTTAGGCTTTTATAGTGGTCCAGGAATTGAACACGGACCTTTCTAAAGGGGTGGCTTAAGCAGGAAACCTCAAAGACAAGGCAGATATCCAGATATAGCAATTGCTTGTGGCTGGTGTCCATTCTGATAGGTCAGTGTCCATGCCAAACTGGTTATTAAATCATTTGAGTTGATCCTTACCCACAAGAATCAGGAAAGTTTGCAATGAAATGGGCTAAAGCCAAGAAGGATTTTGGAGGGGAAGCTGAAATAAATTGGATGCCATGATTCTTCAAAAGAGGGCAGCCACTACTCAGATCCAACCAATTATTGGTAGAAGGAAGAAAGGAAATTCAGACTCAGTGGAACTATAAATAACCCCATTTTCATTGAAAAATTATTCAAGATAGTTACTCCAGGAACACAACAAAATTCTTATGTTAATTTTGACATGCGGGCAGCCAATTTTCAACCTTTGCTCTAAAATGTAAATTCTTCTATCTGTGTAACTCTGACAATGTTATTGAACTTTCTAAGACCCAGTTCATCCATCTGTAAAATGGAGATAATTACAGTGACAGTAATAGTAAGAGCTGCTAAAAGGCTTGAATGAGACCATCCACTCAAAGTACTTAAAGCATATGACCCACTCCTTAATAAATTCTTTACTTTGCTTTGTATTATATAAAATGGAGGTATCTTATACATTAAAATTAATTATCACTACCAAGTGGCTAACAAAACAGGAATGATAGGAATAAGTATAAATATAAAATGGTATATGATTTCTAATAATAGAAAATAAAACTCTAAAATCTCTAGAAAAATGGACAAAGAAAGAATAGAATTAAGTGTTTAAACTGAAAATCACCTTCACTAGTAAAGAAATGCAAATTATAAATAAAAATGAAGCAACATCATCTAAAAATTATATATTATATATGTGATTCATTTATATTCATATGTGTGCATATAATGTCAATGAATAATGTTTATGGGAGCATAAAAACAGCAATAAGAATAACATATACTCTTTGATAATGGTATAAACTATATAATTTAGTCAATATACATTTATTTAGCCCCTTAATACTTGATGTTACAGTTCAGTAGTTAAAAAAAAAAGATAAACATTCCAGTCCTTGTTGAGAATACATTCTAATTTTTTTTTCCATTCTTTTTAATTTGCTAGAGGGCGCATGTACTCACTGGAAAGAAACAGACAAAGGAAAGAAAGGAAAAGTGAAGAAAGCATGCCCATGGAGGATGGTCACACTGGAATCTCTTCTCTATTTCTCATTTTGGGATTTGAGGCATGCACACAAATGTGCCTGGTATACCTCAAACATCATGGATCCAGGATTTGAACCACATGGTGGGCCATGTGGGATCTAACCGTTGGAACCATCATGCTACCAAGTGGCTTCTAATGAGGTTTGTAACCATGAACTTTTTAAAGTCCCCTCAAATAATAACTCATTTGGATATGCAGATTCCATGTTGGGAACTACAAAGTTAATATACCATTTGGATATTTAAGAGCTATTTTCAAGGAACCAGACAGTGGCACACTGCTAAAATGTGAAGTTCTACAAGGCTAACTCAAATGGCTTTGTGGCTCCAGACTTCCTCCAGTACATCAGGCATGTGTGTGTCTAGTACCTGTGGCTGCTGGAAGCTGGGGATGGATTGCAGTGTCGACACCCTGTTAGTGGTGCTATCTCTGTTTCTCTCTCTCTGATTCTCCTGCTTTTAGAAAAAAATAAATAGGGACCAGCAGTTAGTGTAATGGCTATGTCGCTGAACTCTCATGTAGCCGACCACAGTTCGAGTCCCGGACCCGGTGGCTTAAACTCATGCCGGGCGCATGTGTGTGCATGCCCAAGATCCTGAGAGGAGAATGAAAGAGAAGGGATTGCAGCATGGCCATCCCCCCTGGGGGGTGATTTCTCGTTTTATGATGTCTTTCTATCTCTCTCTGTCTTTCTGGTGAGCGCACGTGCCCTATAGCAAAAACTTCTCAAAAAAAAAAAGCGCTCTTTTCAGTGAGTGAAGAAAGCCTAACAAAAATCTTGTCTGTGCACAGACTGGTTGTTTTTCAGCATATTGATTAGAAGTTTGTACTGATAATATTTTGTGTGTCACTTTAACAAAAATGGGAACACAATTTACTAATACAGTTTGTTGAACGACCTCTTGAAAAATCTGATACTTGTGAAAGGAGAGAAATTAATTGTGACAAGTCTGGAAGCAAAGGAGGATGGTGGCCTGTAAGATGTCTTCGTTGCAGTGCCCCATGAAGAACTTTCAGTCAAGGCTTGGAGTAACATGAGATATTTAAGCATTAACTTAAAGCATTGGCATAATTCCAACCAAAAGCAATGGCTGTTAATGATATATTTCATTTTTACCTTAAAAAAAGCCAAACTAGACCCTTCAGTTTTACATGGAAATCCCAATAAACAAAGGTCAGAATTTAGCCCTATAAAGACAAAATGTAAAAGGTTCAAGAAACCCTGGAGTCTCTTATTGCTGGTATTCTTTTTATCCATAAACTACAAACATCAAACTCTTAATTTAAATAAAAAGATAAGGGGAAGAAAATGTCCCATAACTCTCTGAAAACAGTTCATGTAAACCTCCATGGGTAATTTGACTTCTTAACCTGCTATCCCAACAGAAATGATTGTGTCTAACTGCTTGCCTTTGTTCAGAGACTAATCACTAAATTGTGAAAAATCACCCTCAACTTACAAAAACTGCTCTTGATTATAAATAATTGCCCAAGACTGAGAGAAAGTGGCAGGCAAGATCCCAGTCTTTCATCCAATTTATTCAGCAGCAATCCACATTCCATTTGTCTAGACTAAATATAGCAGCGTTTATACAAGAAATCAATAGTGCTTGCAGAGAGGAGAGCAAAGGCATGAATATTTCATCAAACTCAGAGAGAAATGGCAATCAGCAAACTGATGGTTCTGTGTAGGTCATCGTTGGCCTGTTGGATTTGTTCCTGTTAGTTGGACAATACCTCATCTTTGTCTAATCATAATCATATCATGGCCATTCTCTCTATTTTTAACATTAATTGCCTTGTGGGTGACAAAGGCTCATCGTATTCCAGAAGGAATGTGGCTTTTTCTTACATCCTTTGTGACAGGCTAATAAGCCTCTCTAGGAGCAATAATAGTAACACAATCCCAGGACTGCGTTTCAACCAGTTACAGTCACTTCCACATCACAGAATGTGAAAGAAAAAGAATTATCCAAAGCTGCATTTTAAAAATCATAATTAGAAATAATCAACTTACAAAGAAAACTTAACCACCAATTTTAATAGTGGGTAAACGGAATTATCTTTGCTTAAGACATTCCTCTACTGGGAACTTGCAAATTCTTCACAAGTTACTTTGAACAGGTGGTCAGTGGTATGTAAATTAAAGGAAGTTGATGACAACAGATATTATTGGGTGGTCGGAAAAGTCATGATGTATTTTCTATGTATTTCTATGCAAAAATGTGTCAAGACTTTTCCAATGACTCAGTAGTATTAGCATTAGTTATAAATGAATCATCTTTTCTTAAACAAATCTTAAGTTCTCATGGCATATGCAAGGACCTTGACATAGTTAGGTTTGTTTAGACTTATCTGAGATTGCAAAATTAAATATGCAAACATATATATTATTATTTTTATTGTTATAGATGAATTTTATAGGCTATACACACATACACACACGTATATGTATTAACTGGCCTTAATTATCACTTTATAACGTCTTCGCAGTGTCTTATTTGTTCTTTGAATGTTACTTTCATCTGTTTAATGTTTATCAACTCATGCAATATCTCTTTTAAAAATAGTTTTTAGTTTTCAACAAAACTAAAATGAAAATAAAACCCAAGATCATATAGATGTTTACTATAGTGACATTTACTTAAGCAACATGAATACTTTTTTTTTTTTTTTTTTAGATTTTGGCCTTTGGGCACATGTGCTCAATAGAGACAGAGACAGTGAGAGGGAAAGTGAGAAATTACCTCCAAGAGGAGATGGCCATACCACAATCTCTTCTCCTCCATTTTTCTCA